GCTAATCAAATGCGCACGAATTGTTTGAAATGCAAATATAAGCGTCATATCCTATTACTTTATTATAMAATTATGCACAGAATTAAAAAAGCTCTACGAAAAAGTTAAATAATTAAAAAATTTCGATTTGAATTAACGTTTCCAAAGGTTTCTTTTAGGAATAATAACTTCTTATTCAAAAAAGTTTCGTAACCAAAGAACTCGAGGCCGGTATGGACTTGAAAGATTTTAGGCTAAAATAACCTAATTCAAAAATATTCCAAACACAGGAGTATGTATTTTGAATTGACAATAACAATCTCCAATCATTKAGCCAACTTCGAACTTGCCCTTTCCTTAAGAGAAAATGGCCAATTTTTGAAGTTTGCAAAGAAAAATTAATTTTATTTATGAAGTTATGACGTTTTTGTACTGTGAACAGATCATATTGTGTTTGCGGCTAACAAACACTCAGAAAGAAACGTCGTAGAGCCTACATATAAAGCTATGTGTATACATACATRTGGGCAAAAACTAGTAAGACCTTTTAATTAAAATTTSGCGCGAAAACCCGTTCGTCAAAATAAATTTGTTTTTTGGYTGACATGAMTGTCACATGAAAATAATCATTATGGTKTAGTAAATGTTTCTSCTTCTGRGGTGCATAAAGCGCATTCGGWGWTWTTTACGATGAGTGAAATTATTYAATAAAGAWGTTCCATTAAATTGTGTGTGCGGAAACGAGTTTCTATTGCTGAAACGTTCATTATATTGATAATTATTAACCTTCGGTGATAATAGTTGGTCGCGTGCAAGTATTTTTGATTGTTACAAAGTATTCGAAGAGGGTCGAGTACGAGTTGACGAAAATATACTTCCATTGCGGTGATCAGTACCAACCATCACCATGATCATCATTTAAGACGTTGAAATAGACGATCAATCGATCGAATATGAGCCAAATTTGAAAGAACTTCATCAAGGCTGGTAAAAATTCAAGGTTATGTTGACAGTTTGATAATCAAAGAAAAAGGAATACCATTTGAGTATTATTCATCGTTTACACTATCGCGCTTGGTAAAAAGAAGCCGGAATTACGAGCCGAAAACTCTTGGTTTTTGGATCACGATAATGCAACGTCCCATACTGCATTGATTTCCGACAAATTTTCAACCAATAACGTGCCGCAACCACCGTATTCGCCTAATTTAGCTCCTTTTGGTGATTCAACAAACTCAAACGACCTCTGTGAAGAAACGGTTTTGAGTCAATTGAAGACATTAAAAGTAGCATTTTAGATAATTTGAAAGTCTGTAAATATACTTAACCAGTCAGTGAGTTTAAGCAACGTGAATACAACTACATAGTATTTTTACCTTAGGATCTCAAATCGGCTCAAATTTTTTTTTTTTTTACAGTCTTTATATAATTAAGATAAAATACCTTGAGGTCTATTTTGAAAAATATCTGAGGCTCACCGATAAAGATTCAATCAGAATTATAAAGCGCTTGAAAGGAAATAAAATATTCATATGTGGCCAAAATGTTTTTTTTATTTTTTTATTTTTTTTTATTTTATTTAATTATTTTTGCAGTTAATTTTATGCCATTGAAACAAACATCAATAAAACTCCAATCTCCACCCATTTACACCACTTTACGATGACCCGGTGCAGCTTTTCGTCAGGAATTTCGGTATACTGCACTGAATGTTGTCTTCGAGCTTTCGAGGATTGCTGGTGTAAACTTTTGTTTTATCATATCCGTAGAGAAAATAATATAGAGGCGTTGAGTCGCATGACCTTGACGATCATTTGACTGAACTTCAACCCGGTTGAAACATGAGGCGGCGCATCGATCCGTCATTGATGGTAACGACATTCCTACTTCATTTCGMAAGAAATAAGGTCCGCTAATTCYGCCATGCCGCACCTCGAACCAACCAGCGAATTTTTGCGGATACACACAAGGTTTTTACTCACCCCATTAGCGACAATTTTGTTTGCCGACGAARCTACTAAGCCAGAAATCGTCCTCATCTGATTAGACCGTGCTTCGTGCGAAAAGCTTTTACAATAACCACCGACGAACGTGAATTTGCGTAATAATCTGGAACAATTTATAAAGGTTGTACCACAATGAAACGTGACATGATAAAATGACGAATACTTTGTCCATCAGTTACAACTGGTTGTATCAAAGGCTTCCAATAAGTTAGAGACACTAAAGAAGCACAACGGCTTACCTGCACCCTCGAATTGGGGTTAACTASTCATATTGGAAGTTCTGAAGTAATTTTTAAAACAGTGGAAAATGTACCCACTTTGAACGGCACTCAGTGATTAAAASGACTTGCGATTTTCTTCTGTCATATTTAATTGCCATTCATTCAAAAATAAATTAAGGAAAACCCAGCGTTCATTTATTAMCATTCAGAAGCAAATGTAGAATAAAAGAAACTTCTTTGGCGTCGACCAAAATTGCTTAGACAATTGACATGCAAATTTTGAAAAATATTAGATAAATTTTGTAGGATAAGAAAAACTGACAATTTTCAAATTTTAATTACTTTGAATAAATTATCAAGCATTGGCTAGTTTTTGCCCTGCGGCATTCTCGGATTTCGCAAATGTTGCCAATGCAAAAATATTCTTACGAAACTCGTATAATTAGCACCTGCGATTGCGCAACGTTCCCAACTACGCAACAAACGGTAGCCAAATGCTTTTCAAGTACAAACCGGTGATTAAATTACATTTATTGCAACTCAGCAAATTTCGTTGTCGCCTTCTTTTACTTTGTTTATTTTTGTA